GTAGATTCAACTTACTCTCAAAGACATTCCTACATGTGAAGAAAAACTACAACTTTGGTCTTCAGGTTTATAGATTCCTAATATCTTAATTTTACAGAGAGCCACAGTCTCCTTAAAAAGGGTTGAAGTTTCAATGAGTAGGCCTGGATTGTGCCTCAGCCTTCTAAGCCCTGGGTTGTTTTCAACTCCATAGCGACAACTTTTTCCAATATTAGAAAAAGTTAATACAGAGACACAATGGGTAGGAAGAAAATCAAGTCATTAGTATCTATGATGTGCATATTATCTGCAGCACTTATGCTTATATACCACAAAATGTATATTCTATACAGAAAACTGTTCTTCACATACAGTGCCTAATGACTCCAGTGTGCTCTGCAATATACACTCAAGAGCATTAACTTATAGCTTTGGTGTGCTTAATGCAGCTTGGAAGTAATTCCAAGAAAAATAAAGAAATCAGCAGACAGTTCTCCCTGCATCTTGGAGTCCTCAGTGGTGCTACAGGTTGTTAAGACTCAGACTCCAGAACATTGCACACTCCTTAAGGTAGTTATGTGTGTTATCTGATGAAAAGATGGCAGTGGTGACCTCTTAGACTGCCGACTCTAGTAGCACAGATAACGTGGGTTCACATGATACATCCTTGTGGGCACTCAATAAGGAAGGAAGCATACTGGGAGAATGGAATACCGCATCACTCTGAGGAAGAAAGGATGCTAGAAGCATCTCATTAGGTAGTTGTTATAACAATCTGTGTTGGGCCATGACAGATACCAACTCCACCAAATGAACTAGTAGATAAAGTGTAACTCTAGCCAGTACAACTTTTTCTGTCTCAAATATCACAGGAAACTGATTAGCGGATTGCAAATGTAATATGTAGTTACCAAAGTCCCATAATACATTTCTGTCTAAATAAGTTACTCATGTTCCAGGATAAATAAATTTAATGATTTAATCAAATGTGAGGTCATCCTTCTGAAATGTAATTATCTAAAAATGTAGGTCCTCTGTGTTCAGTTACAATTAGTGTAACTCCAGTAACTGTCAATGGGCAAATACTTGACACAATCACATTGACCAATCTCCCCACTAACGTTCTCCAGGGCTTCTCCACCAGCTCACAAGGCTACAAGCCTCTCTTGCCTTTATTTCCAGAGAGTTCATTCCAACCTCTCTCCCTATTGCAAATTGTTGACCCTGGATGCAATAATCTCATGTATTCTTCCTTCCCACTTTTGAAGTTTGGGGTGAAATTTTCTTGTAAAATGCAAGAGTTTATTGTTTTTAAACTGACCTATTGTAACAGTGAAAATTTAAGGTGTATAATGGTAAGGATTGATACATGTATATGCAGATTGTGAAATGATTAAATTGGGGAATTAGCCTGTCTGTCACCTCAGACATTTATAATTTCTTTATGGTGAAACAGTAAAATTCTACTGTCTTAGCTATTTTGAAATATGTAACCCATTATTATTTACAGTCATGTTATTGTGTAATAGTTGAGCAGAAGTCATTGCTCCTCCCTAAATGTAACTCTGTACCCATTGTACTCATTGACCAACATCTGCTCCAAATCTCTTGGCTTGCCAATCTCCAATAGCAAGTATTTTACCCCACATTCCATTGTGTTGATTTTTATCTTGTATATGTGAGAAAATGTTGTCCTTATATTTGTGCAACTGCATTTAACACATTAAGTGTCCTCCAGGATCATCTCATTTATTGAAAATTCCATCTTTTTGTGGTTGAAGAGTGTTCAGTGTGCACATGCGCACGCGCGCGCGCGCGCGCGCGCTCACACACACACACACACACACACGCACACAATGTTTATGTTTACCACATTTTCTTTACCCATTCTCCCACTGTAGAACATGGAGGTCAATGCCATCTCTTAGCAATAATATACAATAGTGTACAATAATGTACAATGTACAGAGCTATAATACACAAAGATATCTGTCCAATTTGTGTTCATTTCCATTTGAAAGTTTGGTTTCCTGATCTCTTTCTACAACCAGAAATAGGATATAAAGGATTGAGAAAATATATTTTTCTGTGCTTTGAGAACTTTCCTTTGCCACTCAAAGCTCCACAGATCATTTCAGAAATGTACTGGTTAGAGAAGAAGGTTCTCCAGTCTAATGTGGCCCAGATATTCACCTTCCCAACAACTTGGAACTCTGACACCCTAGGTGACAGTGACTCTCTCCTCACTCTCTTCAACCCTCCAGCCAATGACCATATGCCCACACATTTGCCATTGCCTAGATACACCTTCACTTGAGTGTCAACCTAAAATGCCTGGTTTATAACCTATCCCACTGCCTTCAGGTCTTCTGATGTGAGTGACCCCAGGTTCTTTGATGATTAGCCTCAGTAAAGTTGTGTTTGCCCAGTCTATACCTACAACAGTTGTAACCAGCTCTTTCATGTTGAATGTTTTGCATTAGGTTTGGTCGTGTTTCCCATGTGTATTACCTGGAGTCTTGGATTCAACCTTAAGGAACCACCTCAGCCTGACGCAGCATTTTCACTCAAATTCTTGAGAACTGTAAGGAGGAATCTTGCCTAGAGAAACTGTTTGGTTCAAGGAATAAAAATGCTGTCCTGGCCTGTCATACTCTTTCTTTTTCTGATGACTCTGATGTGATGGTAGAGTGAATGAAGGGCAGCTCAATGGAACCTTGCTAGCTTAACTTCCTAGTTAAAAAAAAGAAAACCCGACAACTTTCTGGTCTCCCTCATGTTCTAGCAGTTGCCAAGACCATATACTTCCCACTAACTCTCTCCCCAAGGACAGAGACCTGAACCACACTTTGGTTATACACTAGTCCTGCATCTGCATTGCAACAATTTAGATGAAAAATGAAAAGAACTTGTTCACTAAAACACTCCAATGAGTACAGAACTTGATGCCCTTTATTTATTATGTGTTCTGGGTTATTCTTGAGAAATTAAAGAGAAAAGATGAAGTCCCACTTCATAAATACATTGACAAAGCAAAAGTTTATGTTTAAAATAATCTACACCAGTCACAGGTTCACTCACTGTGTACCTAAGCACGCTCTGCTCTCCTACTGCTGTGTAAGAAACCATTACAATAAGAAATGGATTTCATACAACACCCGCACGTGTTCTAACTCAAATTGACCACTTGGTCATTGGTCAACACCATGGGCAGAAAGAGGAGTGGTTCTCTAGGATTTAGAGTTTACTGCAGAAGCACTCTCCAGCATGGTATGCAAGTGGTACTGGTGTCAGGAGGAAGCTTAGCAGGGCTGTGAGCTGAGACAAGATGTGCAGACCACAACTATCCATCCTGGCTCAGGAGAGGAGAATCATTAGACAGTTGTTCCTGTGTGAACTGAGTGGGTTTAAATGATGGATATTGTAAATATTAGAAATCAAATCATTTTTTCATGAGCAACCTGGCAATAAATATTTCTGATCTATAAGAGGCCTCGGTTCTTCCCCTCTGGTCTTCTCCACAAGACATGGAGTTTCTCAAAGTATGGCAGATGGGTTCCAGCATGAACATCTGTCTTAGTCAATTTTGACTGGTATATGACAACACCATGTATCAGATCATTGATAATCGTATTATATACAGCAGATGGGACCAATTTCCTGAAGTTATGGAGGCTAGGAAATCTAAGATGAAAGTGTCAAAAGTTTTACTCTGTGGTGATGGCCCATTTCCTGGTTGACAAATGATACTTTCAGGAAATAACCCCAACTTATAAAAGGGACATGGAGGTTCCCTCAGCCTCTTTTGTAAAAGAACTACCTCATACTTGGGGGTTCTTCCCTTTTAACCCAATCCCCTGACAGAAGACCACACTCATAAATTTCATAAACTCTAGGAGGAAAATTCCCACACAGTAATTTTAGTAAGACTTAAGCATTCAGACCATAACATCATCCAGTAAGAAGAAAGTGAAAATATTAATATTTCAAGTCTTGGAAACAAAAATACAGCATGCTGACATGTGTGAGATTTTGCTATTGGTCAAGAAATTACCATATATGCTCAAGAGGAGTTTGGACAAGTCTGCATTCTGACAGCAAATGTCACAGGATTTGAAGTCATCTTAAAGCACTGATTTCAATCCTAGGGACTGTATGGTGCATACAAGAAAAGCTGGTGCATCTCCAGCATGCAATGTCCATTTTGGTCATGCTTGGTCTAATACAGCCCTTAGAGATGACCAGTATTGGTTTAGGTATAATGCCTCTGAACACACATCACTTGGCAAGACCATCTACTACCAATCTCTCTGCTATATGTCCAGCCTCTGGGACATCCAGAAGCCATTATGTGTCAAATAACCATCTCATGACTGTTTTGCCCATGTTGTTCTAGATAATTGTTTATCCTTAGCTAGTGGCCAAGAAAGGTTGTATCTTGTCCCTCCAGGGAATGGCATAATGCATACATATCAATCATGCGAGAGAGTCCATTAGAAACTGTACAGCCACACAGCAGAACTAATGTACAATCTCATCTTAGTGTGGCATCCCTAATCCACTGAATGGCTTAACTAGCTCTCATGGCTGCCACCTAGGTCCTGGGGAGATTCACTGAGAACTCACTTTAAAATCCTTCTCTACACATTCATTAAATATTTATTCTAGTCATCTTCACCAGGTATAAAGCAGATTTGTAAGCCACATGTTTCCTTTGTGCTCTTTCATACTTTCTGACATCAGTGATTAAGCCTCAGCCACAGGCCTATACAGCACAGGCTCCACTGTGTAAGCAGAGATGGGGTAAACAAGTATTGTCTAGGCCTGGACAGCATAGATACAAGTTCCTTCTTGGAAGCCCTGGCTTGCCCCAGCTTTTCCAAATTGCCTAAGTGTCCTTGCACCACAGGTGTTGGAAGTACCCAATAGAAATTAGCCACAAAAAATTAGGACATCACAAGTGACCATTAAAAAGGGCAAGTCTGTCCTGCAAGGCTACAACTGCTGTTGCATCCCAAGATCTGGACAGAGGAGTGCTGTATCCTGCTCTGCTCTCCACACAGCCCAAGGATCTGTAAGTAATGAAAGTCCCTTTATTTTCAAAGGATGGATATGTCATTGTGGCCTAGCTGCAATTGACTTCCTAAAGGCAAGGGCACCCTGGAGGAGCCCACATATGTAGACACACATCTAGGGCTCTTCTGTTCGGGCCTCTAGTGGCTTCCAAGGATACTAGTCATTGGGTAAGGGGAAATTCACAATACTTTTTTCAAAAAACAGATGTCTTACTTATCCTTTAGGTAGGGAGAATAATATCATCTTAAAAATGTGTTTCTGTTTTAAGAAATATCTCTTTGGGTCATCTACCATTTAGTGTTTGACTTGGTTTTGGCTTCTGAGGTGCACACGTTGCATATATATATATATATATATATATATATATATATATATATATATATATATATATATATATATATATATATATATATAGTTTCTTATCAGGTGTCTGCTTTGCCAGCCTTTAGCACCATGTTCTAGTTATCATTTCAAGCTGATGATTATTTCCTCTCCTATGGAGAAGCTGTAGAGTCCAGTGCAATCCCACTTGCCCATCTTTGCTTTGTTCTCAGCACATTTGGTGTCATGAAAAAAAAAAATCACTGTCCAGATCCAGGTCTGAATTTTCTTCTAGTAGTTTAATGCTTTCAAAACATATGCCCAGGTCTTTGAATCATTTTATTTGAGATCAAGTTCCAATTGTGCATGAAATCATTGGGTTGTAAGGTTTAATTCTGATAATCTTAATTGTCACTCATACTTGCATAGAAGTGGAAAGAATAAATGTTTCTCCTTCTTAGATTCATGCTTTACTCAGAATCACAGGAGTTCATTTCATCCATAGTGTAATAAGGTCAAAGTGGTCATCACATGTGCTGTAACACATCTAACCCTAACAAGCCTTGACTAACAGGCATCACCAGGATCCAGGTCTGACACCAGAGTTGACAACAGAAGACATCAGAATCCATCTTCAGAGATTTAGAGGCATTATTTTCTTGAACTCAATGCATAAGAGTGCTGCTTATTCTATTTTAACTTTAAAAAGTAAGCACTCATTCAAACGGTAGGAACAAAATCCAAGCGGTAACAGGAAACAATAGCAGAGTCCCCGCCCCCATCCTCACTAGTGTAAACCAAAGGCAGTCACCAAACACCCAAATGAAGACATTTTGTGATGAAGCTGTGAGAACAAGAGAATCAAGAGGACCTCGAGGACAGATCCTTCGCCTTATCAATCCTGTCCAACTCCAGGACCTATCTCGGACCCTTCTGCTCACATACTACACACACACACTTGGTTCCTGATTTTTTTCATCCCCTAGGAAACCCAAGGCCATGAGGACACCCACTCTACTCATCGCCCTTCTGGTGGCCCTCCAGACCCAGGCAGAACCTCTCCAAAGAAGAGCTGAGGAGGTTCTAGTCCAGGAGCAGCTGGGAGAGGATGACCAGGATATGTCCATATCCTTTGGAGGGGATGAAAGCAGTGCTCTTCAAGGTGCAGGTGAGAGATGTCAGCAGGTTAGAGACAGGAGCAAAGGGAAGGGATGGAGATAAGCTCTGAAATCAGGTCACCTAGGTGACTTAACTACTTCTTTATTTTTCTCATTCAACAGCAGGAGCCAAATAAACCAATTTCTTTCTGCAAAGACTTTTGTTCCAAGATATGCTTGTGACTCTCACTGGGTTTAATACATAAAGAGATTAATAGCTAGTTTTTTTCTAGCTCTAAATGGCTAGACTTGGTCATGAGGAGAATATCTTATTGTGCCTATTACATTTTAGTAATTGGAGGCATGTGTTTAGATATTTATGTAATGGCAGGATGCACAAAAACATGTGATGGTAGCAGCACAAGAGAAGAAAATGAAACTACCATGTTTAACGTGTATATTTATTCATATTGATTGTGATTGCTCAGGCTGCTGTCAGTGATGGTGAATGTGGGGGACCCACTTCACCTAGCACATAATCGTGCCCATGATCACATTCACCTTGCTGACCCAGGCACTGACTGCTTCTTGTGGTCCCTGTCTCCCCAGATGTGAGGTCAGGCTTGACCTGCTATTGCAGATTAAGAGGCTGTGGATTTAGAGAACACCTCATTGGGTACTGCAGGTACCGGAACGTCATCTACCGACTCTGCTGCCCCACATGATCACTAAGAACAAGACGAAGAGGTTTGCCATATGAGTTGAGAACCTGAAGGATACTACTTGTCCCCTGCTGTGTGTCCTCGAATTTCTTCCTCCTTTATATCTAAATAAAGTCCTTGCAGCAAGTTCGTTATGTGTGTGCTTGTGCTTGTCTGGTTTCTCCAAGCAAGACTCTGAGAATGGAGTACCAGAATGCTATAAAGAATTTCCTGGCTCTGATGTGTAGGAATATCAAGGCTGTCACACAGGCTTCTGGAAAATAAGAAAGGTCAATGCTGTTGTAGTCATTCTAATCTCTCATCTCATAACTTGCCTCATTTAGATCAGAACCACTCTCAAAGCCATTGACAATGTGGGAGGTTGAAAACAACACAACTATCTTCATGTTTCCAAAGTCTCAATGACCTAACTTCTCAAAGAAGACAACATCCTCATTCCAAACATTAGGATTTGACCAAACAGGCCAACATCATATATCTGCCCATAAAGCCCTAGATTTGTATCATCTCCACAGACAAAACTGTAAGTAGCATTAAGAAAGGTTAGCGCATGCTACAACCCATAGCCCCAGAGAGGCTAGGTAACAAGAAGGGTTCAAAGAGGGATGCATGAATTTCCCTGGGAAGCAGAAATTGAAGAGATCTCCTTGGTGAAATTGGGGTGAGTGGGGATGAAAACATGAGGGCTCAGGGACAGGATGGATGGAGAGAGTAATTAAAGAGATATCTTGAGGGAAGGGAGTTGCATTTTGGGGCCAGGTAGAAAACTGGTGCAAGGGAAATGCTCACAAATCTAGCAAGTTGACCCCAGCTAAGAGTCCTAGCAATAGTGGATAGGTAGTCTGAACTGGCATCTCCTGTAATCAGATTGGTAACAACTTGATTTGTCATCAGAGAGGTTTAGTCCAGTAACTGAGGGAAGCAGATGCAAAGATCCACAGCCAAGCACTGGGCCAAGCTCCTGGAATTGTGTTGAAAAGAGGGAGAAAGGACTGTCCCAACCAATGGCGGGGGGGAGAGTCCAAAGTTATCATAAGGTTATCACAGAAACAGCTAACATGGGCTCATAGGATCACACAAACCCTGGACTGCTATCTAAGGAATCTACACAGAACCCATGTAGGCTTTCAATATATGTGTGACAGTCGTAGAGCTTAGTCTATTTGTGGGAAACCCAGCGTTGGTAGTGGGGTCTGTCCCTGACACTTTGTCAGGCTTTAGGGAAACTTTTCCTCATACTAGGTTGCTTTGCCAAGTCTTAACAAGGGCTGGAGCTTACTCCTACCTCAACATGATATGTCATACTTTGTGAACACCTTGGGGAGGCCTGCCCTGTTCACAATAGAAACAGAGGAGTAATGAATGGATTGGGGGGTGGGGTGGGCAGAGGGGAGGTAGAAGAGGTAATGGGAGAAGAAAAGGGAGGGGAAACTGAAGTCAGGATGTAAAATAAATGAATAAATTTAGTTAATAAAAGATATTTTAAAAAAAGGTTAGCAGCAAGGGTACTAAATAGGAAGAAAAACAGGAAGTCCCTCCCAGATGTGCTTATCACCAGAACTATTTGCCAACATCTGGTAAAGCTGGATTTGATATAGGTAGGCCAGGCTTTTAAAAACATAAAACCAATGTGCTCAGGTTCTTATCTATACCTTAAGATATATAGTGTAGGTGTCTTAAGATACCTTTATCTATGGCTCTCAATTTGTGCTGGGCTGTTAGAAATTGTGACTGATGTCACTTACATAAGAAGATATGCCACAAAACAAAGAGGTGCAGCAAGAGGGATCAGGTGCCAGAGAACAGTATCCTCAGTCACCACACCAGCTCATGCCTCCTGTACAGTTAACTAGATCCTGAACTGAACATGAAACTGCAGAGGGAATGAGAGACCTCGATCCTCCAATCCTTAACAACCATCTACCAAATTTATCAGACATATTAAAACATGGATGTGTGAAAATGCTCCCAAGATCATTCTTTTCCCTTTTTTTAGAAGCCACTTTAAGATACTAGATTAATTCTAGCAAAATACAAAAGATTCCCAAGCCTTCCAAAGTATGAAGTGATAACAAGGAGTCATGGTTGATTTTGTGAACTCACACCCTCACTGATGCTCAGAAGATCTCTTAACTCATAGATTCCAGCCACTTTTACAGAGTCTCTTTTGTTCTTCTTGGAATGTCTGTTTTGGAACTGAGATGGTAATGTTAAGTGTTCAGCAGGCTGGTGCTTGAGCATACTGCTCTGAGAGGCCTCTGAAGACTCTCTGAGAAAAGAAGAGCCTTTGGGACAGCTGTGCCACCTGCTGGCCACTGCCCTGCCATCTGTCCACTTCCCTATGGGAGCTGGCCCTCCTTTACTGGAATAGTGTGGATTCTTGGTCAGTGTCTCATGAAGAAAGACATTTCCATATGGAAGCACACTGGAGCAGCTGAGCATAGACAGGCAGACCTGGGTCTCAACAGGCTGCATTTCAGTGCATGGTCCTGGATGACTGGCTATGAAACTGGCTTAGCTGTGGGTGCAAGGCTGGGGTGAAGAATCAAACACAGGTCAGAGATAAGACATCGTGTCTGTCATCCCAGAGGCTCCTCTTCAGCCTGGTAACTTATGAAAGGGAGGAAGAAGCTTATCATGTTTGTATTTGGTCACTAAAATATGGATCTGAGAAATATGTATCCTTCAAAATAGAGTTAGATTTTAGTGTTTGTGTATGAGTAAGGGAAAGGCATGGAAATGTGGACAGGAACCACACAAAGCTCCTTTATTCCCCATGAACCCTTTGATGTTCCTCTGATCTGGGATTTTTGCTTATACCACATGCTGCATCTATTTGATGGCTGACTACGGTTACTTGATGAGCAATGAAAAAATAATAAGATTCCTTCATCTGCAACTGCCTAAATATTTATTAATAGCCATGTGTATTGTTCTCTGTTGTAATCTATTGCCTTTAGAATGGACCAGAAACATTCATTAGTCCTCAAAATGTATCATCCACTTCCAGTAATACATATCCCTGCAATAATACATATCCCTGCAATTTAAAGGAACATGTCCAAGAATGGCTATAGTTTCCAAATGTTTCGACTCTGCAGTAATGTCAGCAACGGTCTTTGAGTGTGGAAGCTTCAGTCCTGATTCCTTGTGACCCAGGTATGTGTGTTTTCTCAAAACAAGTCTCATTCAAGCACAACTAATGTCAGGCCTGGTGTCACTGGGCTGTGACTCCAGCAGCAGGGTGAAGCAGGCAGGTTGAGAGCAATACCCATGCCACACAGGGCTGTATAGTCGGACCCTGTCTCACAATGAGTAAACATGCACACCACAGTGGCTGTGATCACTCTGCTGAGTTTCCTTAAAGTGTCCTTCAAAGCTTAAGGCACTAATTTTAATGATAAACACACATTTCTTTTGTTCCATGCCAATCATAAGACATAAACACTCTCCTGTCCTCTCTGAGTTGTGATATCAGGTGTCATTCTAAGATTCTGCTTCTCTCTGAATTGACTTTTATACATGGCTACATAGCGTGACATAGAATTCAACTGCATTTTATTGCTTGTGACTACCTAGCTGCTCTGACAACTTTTGATTAAAGTGACTTCCCCATCCCTAATAAAAGGACCATGGTATCCTAGAAGAATGTCAGTTATCAGTGTGTGTATAATGCCATAATATGACCCATCACTTTGTACACATACTAAAAATGAAACAGTGTACTGTAAGACAATTCCCTTTAAAAGTCTGGACATATCTTTTCATGTTGTCCACTGTATACACAAATGCTTTAGAAGGGGCTTGGAAACAGGCTACTATATCTAGACCAAATTTATATTTTCTACTCTGGGTTTCATACAACAGTATGTAAGTTTGAGAATGTTTATAGAGCTCTATGAAGAAAGTCCCAGGGAATGATGGCTTCACTTGCCAAATTCAACAAGACTTTTAAAAAAGAATTAATATAATTTTTTCCATACTGTTCTAAAATATTAAAGGGAAGGAAAATTTTGTGGGGTTTTTCTTCTTCAAATATTAATGAGAAAATATGCTCAGACAATAAAAATGATAATGATATTCTTATCTTCATGCTCTTCAGCAAGCAGACACTAAACACAGTTTAGATGTCCTGGAACCTATGAGAACACAGGAACATCAAGGGGACTTTGAGGGGGAAAGTTCCTCCTTTCCTCATTAATGCTCCCTTTCTCTATCTGCAAAGCCCTTCCCTGAGCTTTCTCCTAACAGACCTATAAATACATAATGAATCCTCATGCCACATACACTTGGTTCCTGCTCATCCATCCTCCAGGTGACTCTCAACCATGAAGACACTCTTGCTTATAACCACTCCTCTGCTGGTCCTCCAAGGCCAGGCTGAGCCTCTCCTGGGAGCAGCTGAGGAAGCCCCTGATCAGTGCAGCCATCAGAAGAGGACCAGACCATGTCCATCTCCTTTGGAGGGCTTGAAAGCTCTGTTCTTCAAGAAGCTGGTGAACACATCCATATGATAGAGGATCGGAGTTCAAGGAGAAGGGTGAACAGAGATTGTGGATGAGGTCTGGAAAGGTCCACATTGCTTGCAAGCTTCTTTAGTTAACTTCTCTGGGCTTTAACTTTCCCATTGAAAGTTACTTGAATTGAAAGTTAATTGAAGATTGAAAAACCAGAGATAAATTCATTTAAGAGATGCTCTTCCTCTGAAGACTTGGTTCTGAGATCTGTCTGCAACTCAACATCTTAAGACATCTACAGACCTTTGCTGTGGGATGGTCTGTATATTAAGAGTGTTGCTGATTGGTCAATAAATAAATCACTGATTGGCCAGTGGCCAGGCAGGAAGTAAAGGCGGGACAAGGAGGAGAATAAAGCTGGGAAGTGGAAGGCTGAGTCAGAGAGACACTGCCAGCCACCACGATGAGAAACAGCATGTGAAGATGCTGGTAAGCCACGAGCCACGAGCCACATTGCAAGGTATAGATTTATAGAAATGGATTAACTTAAGCTGTAAGA